TCCCTGCTTACTAAAGACATGGAGCGCTTTTCAAATATCCATTGATCTTTTGTATGTCTCTCTTTGAGATAGGATTATTCAGTTCATTAGCCCTTTCCTGAATGGACGATTTGGGGGAGGAAGGCATATTAGTACTTACTTTTTTAAACTCTTTATAGATTCTTAATATGTATTTGTCACTTTTCTGTTGTTGTGATAAAGCACCGGAACTAAGATAATGTTTATTTTAGCTTGTGGTTCCAGAGCAATGAGAGACTGTCATGGCAGGGTAGAGGCATGGCAGCAAGCAGAAGGTATGGTGGCGGGAACTGGAACCTGGGAGATCACATCTTTAACTGTAAGAATGAGCAAGGACAGCCAACTGGAAGTGGGTTAGACTATAAACTCAGAGTTTACCTCTTGTGACGTACTTCCTTCCATCAACGCCAGACCTCTCTAACAAGCAAGACCAGGCACTTTTTTTTTTTTTTCCGAGACAGGGTTTCTGTGTGTAGTTTTGCGCCTTTCCTGGAACTCACTCTGTAGCCTAGGCTGGCCTCGAACTCACAGAGATCCACTTGTCTCTGCCTCCTGAGTGCTGGGATTAAAGGCGTGCACCACCACTGCCCGGTGACAAGGCACTTTTTACATCGTTTTGGTTTTATTTTATTGAACGAGAAGTCCATGCAAGCATATAATGTGCTTAAATCAAATCCCTCCTCCATTTCCTCTCCTCCAACTCCTTCCGTATTTCCTACCATTACTCCCATAGGATCCCCTTACTGCTACCATTGTAGTGCCGTTTGCTAGACTCTGGGCAGCCTTTCAGGGGACGTATCCCTGAAGAAAATTGATTCTTTCTCTCCCAGCAGCCATCACTTGCCAACAGCTCCTCATCTAAGGGTGCGACTCCTTGCCTCTTTCCATGCTGGGAGTGTTGTCTGGCTTAATCTTGTTGTGTGCTGCCACAACTGTTGTCAATTAGAATACGCAATTGCCCTGTTGTGACTGGAAAACAGAGTTTCCATATAGTCATCCACTGCCTTTGGCAGTTACAGTCATTCTGTCCTCCTCAGTGAGATGATCACGAAGCCTTGAGAGGAGGAGCATGTTGTACACATGTATCGTTTGCTGCTGAGCACCCTGAAATCTCTTTTTCTCTGTATTTTGACCATTTGGGGCCTCTGTGTGAATCACCATCTCTTCAAGCAAGACGTTTCCCTGATGACTGTTGAGAGATGCACTAATATATTGATATAACAAGTCATTAGCAGTCTGTTTAAGACTATGTCTCTTTAGCAGAGTAATAGCAGTACATTCTCTCTTAAGGTCTATGATATGCCTGGCCTCAGATTCTTGGTTCCATTAGTAGTGGCAGTCATAAGTTCCGCCTTATGGAATGGGCCTTAAATCCAACTATAAAGTTGTTGGTCAGTTCCATAATATTCATGCCGCTGTTGCACCAGAGAGCATGTCTTGCCAGGCTGGTCATTATTACACTTACAGGTAGGTAAGTGAGCCTAACACAGTCTAACACTATGAAAGCTAGCCTGTAGGCATGAAGCTTCCAGTTCAGTACCAGCCTGATTTCTCTACATTCTATGGCTTGAATGTGTGGTGTTTTCACAGTAGGGTCTTACCATCAAGTTTTGCAGTGTACTCAAGATCAGTGGCATTAACCTGTAGTTTGGGGGGCAGTCTGTTGGATC